GGAGTTGGATTTGGTTTTGTGGGTTTAGTTTTTTTTTTTTTTTTTTTATGAACTTGGGGAATTTTGGGGGAATGGAGAATTTGTTTTCAAGTAATTAGTAAAAGTAAAAGCCCTAACAACTTAAACCCAAGTTTTAGGTTTGGTAGTGAACCATTAGATTCGTTTAGCTGACTGATGGGTTTAGCCTCTTTTATTTAAAGTATTCTCGTTTTTAAGCCGAATAGAACTTGGGCCAGCCCATATTCATTTTTGCATTTTTTGGAAACAACCCATTAAAAATAAAGGAGATTTAAGGCTAGCCCGTTTTCCCCTTTTAGTTTTTTTGGCCCATTTTGCTTGTGATTTCCAGGGACCTGTGGTCTGGAAACTCTCCCGGTCTAAACAATCCGCGGGAATTTCCAGACTCCGGCAAAAGTTAAAAATCGAAAGAAATTGCAAAAAAAAATCGAGAAAATCAAATACCAAAACCAGGACCTAATGGAGCCTAATTGCATTCAAAATGCACCAACATAAACTAAAACTGAGCATGTATATTCAAGATTAAAGTGGACAGTACATTCAACCAAAAAATCCATCACCAAATGAACAAACAGGCACGTAAGAGGCGTTTTGTAGGTCGTCATGCTTCCGGGTACACCGTTTTGGAGTAGTCCCGGAGGCAAAAACCCGAAGGCGCCCCTTACGTGTTCGGATCAGGAAGTTACCTAGCTAAGGGAGACCGCAATGTCGCCGGAATCCGGCCGGGATCTGCTGCTCTTTCTCTCCCCTCTACTGCTTTCAAAACCCAGAAGAAGTTCAAAAATGGACCAAAAAGAATCCCTGAAAATCACCAAAAGAACCCCCTCTTTTTTTTTTTGGGGGCCGTCAGCGGCTCTCCTATGATCCTCTCTGGCCCCAAGGCCCTCTCGGCTCCCTCTATTTATAGAAAAAGAAGGCAAACCCTAGAATCTCTACCCTCTACTCATCTAAACCGTTCCAACTTTTTTCTTTAATCACGCCATTCGGTGCAATGTTTTGAAAATCAGACCGGAGGTCAAACCATTTTGTCCTCCGGTTCATGGTTTGAGTGGTTTGACCGGGTAGTCAGTGAAAAATTCGGTCTGATCATATTAGCTATTAATATAACAAATTTATAATAAATATAGATTGCAAAATATGAGAATTTTATAGTAAAGTTTTGTTTGAATTTCATTATATTATTAACTTTTTCATGTTTACAAAGAAATTTTTTTTTAATAATTTTGCAAAAAATCGAATTCCAACCGTTACTCAAGGAAAATGGATGCATTTAAACGTGGTTTGACGTAACTGAATCAAAATGCCCAAGTGCATGTTTACAAAGAAATTGATATAAAAAAATTAATAAAAAGTTATTAAGTATGTTTCATATGTGAAAAGTTGAGAGATTTTTTTTTTTTGAAAAATGTGAGAATAAAAATTTATTAATTAAGAATTAAGTTAGGGAATATAAATGTTTAAAATATCACTTTTATCCTCGTTTTATTACAATATTACGATATAAAAATATATAAATAACTCTATAAAATAAAA